CCGCTCCTTTAAAATCTGTGGGAGGGAAGGCATCAGTCGCGAATCCCAATTTAGTTTCCCGGTCGGTCATTTCAGCTAAGTCGGAATCCACTGGCGCTGGTGGGTCCAAAACTTCACTGCCGCCATTACCCATTGGTACCGAAAGCTCTGGAGGAGTCCCTTTCTCCGCTAGTCAGCCTAAGTGTTCAAACACAACGGATTTTTCTGTTCCGATAACCAGACGAACGGTGTTCATATTGCTGGTGGGGGAAGATAAAGACTCTCGGTTGTTCCATATAGGAAGCAATTATCTGTGTCTCGCTTAACCCCTGAAACCACATCTGCAGATGTTTTGGAATTCATACAGCACGAATTCCTATCTTAAAACATCACAGTGGAAGAGTTTAAATTTCTATATGTTCGTAGAATAACTTCACTTAAGATATCTGCTCCTCCTGAAGTATTTAACGTACTAAATTCTAAAAGTTTTTGGGTTAATGATGAAGTGGTCATTAAAAAATTTGTTCTCAACAGACGGAGAACTAATAATAGGCCTTCCACCGTGGTACCTGCGCCAAATAACTGAGCAGGTTATATTTGGCCTATCAAAATGTTATAGGACTTAATATAAAGCTAAGGTTAATGCTGTGTCCTCTGCTTTTCCTGAAGACGTTCTAGCCTTTACTGAGACTTGGCTGAAACCGGATATATATTTCTCAAAAGTTTTGTCGAACAATTTTAATACTTATAGAACCGATTGCTCTCCTCTTAGGGGGTGGGGTGATGATTGCCGTTACCTCTAGTCTAACATCGGAGAGAATATACTTTCTTAACCCACATTACATAGAATTTGTTATTGTTAAAGTTTATTTCCAATCTTCATCTATTTTTAAACCCTGTTCTTATATTTCCCCCGAGTCCGACTTAATAATCTATGATCACAATTTGTCTGCAATAAAAAATGTTCTCTGAAATGATCTCTGATTGTTTTGGGTGACTTTAATCTCCCTGACATTTTTTGGCCTGTTGAAATTATCATTACAAGTAAACATTGAACGTAGTTCACTAAACAGACAATAAGATCTATTTGTATTAGATCCGTCTGAAGTCATTGTATCTAGAATTTACGCACTTGTTGTTCTAGAAGACGGATATCATCCCACATTGGAATTAACAATTTACCTCCTCTGCGTTGATAGCCTCTCCCCTCGTGTCCGACCCCATAAAGTATATATATTCTTGATCTAGCCGAGTCGATCTAGCCATGTCCGTATGTCCGTCAGCCGGAATAAACGTTGAGCAGCGTGCCACGCATTTTCTAACGCCCACAAGTCGCCCAAACTGTGGCTCCTACAATTTCTATGCTAGAAAAAAATTTTAGCTGAAATGTATTATGTCTCGTCAATACCTATCGATTGACTTAAAAAAAGTTTGCACGCCCACTCTAACACCCATAACGCTTAAATCTGTCTACCGCCCACATAACGATATATTAAGAAAGTGGGTAGGTGGCGCATTTCAATCTCGCTTTGCTGCTTGCATATCTCCATTTCCCTTTTGTCCCTTTAGCGTTCTTCCTTCTTTTCCAATATAATTGGACAAATTTAATCAGTAGCATGGACATGGAAAGAGCCACTGAACTACTTTATACCTTATTTTCTTAATGAATGCGATGATGATGGTCTTCCTCCAAAGCTAAACAAGCCTTCTTGGTTTACCAGTGCGCTTTAATAACTGAAAAACCTTAAAACTAGCACTCATAAAAAGTACAAAAAGTCGGGTAAGCCATCCGATTTCCCCCGATATGTGGCTCGATTGGATTTTAATGTTCTCAATAGTCATTGCTGTTATATGTACTCAAACCGATGTAAATTTGAATTTTCAAAGGGTCCGGGGCAAGTATATAACTTTGATAATGCCAAGCGTAAGTCGTCAGCATTGCCTTCATCGGTACGTTTTAACTCAATGGAGGCATCGACGGATTCTGAAATTGCTGATTTATTTGCCGAGTTTTTCCAAACTACTTATAGTTCGGCTGCTTGGTCAAATTCTAACTACCCTAATCCCTTAAATAAGGCAAATTGTATCTTTACCCCTGAAATTACGGAAATTTCTCTCGTAAGAGACTTAGAAAAAACAACGCCAACTTATACTCCCGGTCCTGATGGACTCCCCGGGTGTGTGCTTAAGTTTTGTGCGTCAACCATATGTAAACCGATTCTTAAACTTTTTAATTTGTCTATTTCATCGTCAGTTTTTCCTACTATCTGGAAGGACTCTTTTATTATTCCACTTCACAAAAAGGGTGCGAAGGCGGATGCCCAGAATTACAGAGGTATTTCTAAATTGTCGGCAATTCCTAAAGCATTTGAACGTATTATTACTTCTCATTTGCAACATTTATGTTCCTCGCTAATATCACCGTGTCAGCATGGTTTTGTTAAGCGAAGATCGACCACCACCAACCTTCTGGAATTGTCATCTATTGTAATAAATGGATTTAAGAATAAAATGCAGACTGACGTTATATACACTGATTTTAGTAAGGCCTTTGACTCTGTCAACCACTCTCTTCTCTTATTCAAATTAAATCAGCTTGGGTTTCCATGTAATCTATTAACTTGGATTTCAAGTTATTTGAATGGTAGGACTCAGAGGGTTATATTCAAGAACGCTGCCTCAAAACTGATCTATGTGACATCCGGAGTGCCTCAGGGTAGTCATTTGGGCCCTTTGCTGTTTACTTTGTTTATTAACGATCTTCCCTCTATCATAACACACTCTCGTGTACTAATGTATGCTGATGATGTTAAGCTTTGTTTATCACATAATGATATAGCGTCGGGTTTCAACTTACAGTCAGATATTGATTGTTTTCAGGGATGGTGTGAGTATAACCTTTTAAATTTGAACTGCCTTAAATGCAACGTTATGACTTTTCATAGGGGTACTCCTACTTTTGTTAGTAACTCTCTTCAAAATACGCCACTCGACCGTATCTATTCAGTTAATGACTTAGGCGTTCTTCTGGACCCAAAACTTGAATTTGACTGCCACATAATGTCCACTGTCAGCAAGGCCATGAGTGTTCTTGGGTTTATAAAGCGTTGGTCAAAAGAATTTGATGACCCTTATACAACCAAATTATTATTTACCTCCCTTGTCCGTCCTATTTTGGAATATTGTTCTTCGGTTTGGAGTCCACAATATCAAGTGCATATTGACCGTATTGAGTCGGTACAAAAAAAATTTCTTCTTTTTGCCCTTCGTAGTTTGAATTGGGATCAAAACATAAGGCTACCTACCTATCAGAGTAGATTACTATTGCTTAATTTACCTACCCTTGCAAATCGTAGAACAATGCTTGGTACTATTTTTATGCAAAATCTTATAAGAGGTGATATTGATTCTGTAGAACTTGTAAGCCGCCTAACTTTCAATGTTCCTGTTAGACTAACACGAAATTATTATCCCCTAAATTTGCCACGATGTACATCTAATTTTTGTCTGCACGAGCCCTTTCGCGTTCTGTGTAATAATTATAACAACCTTTATCATTTAATTTGCACTTCAACTTCTATCCCGGTATTAAAAACTAATATTTTAACTCATTTGCTTCATTCTTAGATGCTTCTTTTATTTTCATTTGTGTCCCGTCTCTATTTGTTTTTTGAATCTTCCTCGCGAACTCGTATTTTTTGCCCAAATTGATAAAAGGGCCCCGCGCGTAACAAGCACGTGCTTGGTGTCGTTGGGCCACTTGTTTGTACTGCTCGTAGTGCATTAACGTCCATCATATATTTCAATTCCGTTACTTGTGCCCGACAATATTCCAGTTTCCTTTGCCCACAATTTTACACTTGAAACAATTCCAGTAGATATTTCAGTGCTACTATTCAACTAAAATATTTCTTAAATATATTTTCAATTCCAATTGTGTGTAAAATATAACTCAGCCACAGTAAAAAATTCCCGATCATAACATTTTTTCCTTAAGATTTGCACTCTTTATTTTTTACTGTGTTCCAGCTGCGTGTGTGTATATTTACATACATATTCTAATACAGTCCACTCCAACTACTTTTCTCGACCTATAAATACGGCTAAACTATTTCTAAAATTAAAAACAAAGTTACAAATTCCACAAATTTACTCCAGCAAATCGTTTGCAATTTAGTTGTGCAGGTGACAAACAAACGCACCGACATACAAACATAAGCGAAGTCTTTCCAATTCCCGCAACGTTATTCCGCTATTCGCACCCCACATACTCGTATGTACATATGTACAGTGTACATACATACGTATATCGATATTTTCGCCAGTGCACAGTGGGTCAAGAGCTCACAATAAATGTGCCTTCCAAACATACAATATTAAAGTCCGTAATTCTTTCATAAGTCCGACCATCCGATATAATAAATATTTATTGACTCTGCCTATCCGACAGTGTGACCGTATATATTTACAGTCTTGATTGGTTCCTAAATTCCAATTGGATTTAAGCTCGTTTCCTTACTGAATTAAAATTCTAAATTATTTTACGTCATGGCAACATTAGTCAAATCCGCTTTAACCCGATTTATGGCCACAGTTGACTGTGTTTACGTCAAAAGGGCGTTTAATTTCAGGAGGCAGTGTCGAGCGGCAGTCTTATCCAGATGCCTACATCTCGCGCGCTTGCACTGCCGTCCGCTCTCCCTCTCCATCTCTCCCTTAAGTCTCCGCTCTGCTCTGAAGCGCTTAAATTAAGTTAGGCTTAATCAGTTCATGTTTCAAAGTGTACTAATAAACACCTACTCGTAAAAACCCCAAAATACTCCCGTGGTTTTTGGGTACCATTCGATCTTGGGGCTTCACCTATTTCATCGATCAAGCCGCACCGCCCCAACAATATTAAATATGATTTACCAAACAAAAAGCCAATACGCGTAAATTATTCGAATTGAATAGTCTTTTTTTTTTTGAGCATTGTTTGAGTTTTTTTTTGTTTATTTTGTTTTTGCATATTTATAGAAAAATAGTTATAAAATCCTTTATTTTATTTTTATAAGGCCTTGCTATTATAAAGTTGATGTTAAGGAAACAATAATTTTATTATACGTAATAGTAACTACGACTAAGCTGAAGTACAAATCATTGGTTTCCAAAATATTGATTTTTTCTCATAGTCCTGGCCGTATAAGGCATGCCCACATATATTCATCATTGTTAATACGGCATTGTAAGCTTAAAGTCTAACTGTTATTGTACGTTGTTTAATACGAGAGTTTTCCTCCCGTTTAGTAGCTATCGACAGCGTCTTCTTCGATATCTGCATCTAGTTGTTCTAACGTTTTGGCTCTGCGACGACTAATCCATGGCATAAAACTCCAAAGGCTGGCCCAAGCTAAGAGCGTCAAGCCCAGGGCGTGGAAAAGAGGATTATAATCATTAACCGCCTCGAACCAGTAGTTACACAGCGGCGGCCCAACCAACTGCAGCAAGCCATTGACAAAAAGGCTTATACCATAGGATGAAGTCAATCTTTCCGTGCCAAGCATGTCTGCCATAATCACGGCAGTGATTCCGACGTAGATTCCGGATGCTAGACCAAACAGTGCGCACCAGAAGCATACTGAACTGTAAGCCCATGCAAAAGGTAGAAGCGCAAGGGAAAGTCCCGATATGGACAAGCCGCCAACAAAGTACCAGGTCTTAGGTATGTATCCCATGTCTGAAAGTGCTGATCCTCCAATACGTCCAATTAGGTCTGTCGTAGAGACAACGGAAAGCAGATAGGCAGATAATGATTTGTTAAACCCCCTAGCTTCCCCAAAACTGGGCAGCAAAATTATAAAATTTGTATAGCTTATGGCATTTGTAGAATTTGAAATAAGTATGACCAAGTACATAGGATCTTTTAAAAGGCTTAGATCGAAAAACTTCGATCGTTGTGGCTGCTTGTCTTTGCCTCGTGATTCGACAGCTTGAGTTCCATCTGGTCTGGTCGAGTCGCCGCTAGGACCTCCTATTCCACTACTACCCACAGAGCGAAGCGACAAATGAGAGGAAAATTCTTTCGGCTGGAAAGACAATGTGCTCCCATGATATGGTGTACTGACGTATAAAAAACTGCTGGTCGAAGGCGAGCGTTTGGACAGCCGTGTTTTAGATAAATTCCGCAGAGTAAGTTTGTTGGAGCTCGAGCGACCCTCGGGTACTGCGTACAAGGAAGACTGCGAGTTCAATTGGCCAGGCGTAAAAGTTTGATTTCTTTGGGGTAACCTCACTGGGGTACTGATCTTACGAGATCGAGACTGAAACTCGTCTCCAGACTTTAAGTAACTTTGAACAACCGCTGCGGATGCGCTCCGCACAAACTGTTTCTCATCGTCGGGTGGATACAGTGGTGACGGAGGGGAGTTGCAAGGTAACAAATGCTTATCAGTCTCCTCGTTTTTTGGGGCAGACTCGTCAACATTTTCGAACTTCATCACAATGCCAATATCTTCTTCTTCAGGAATGTCTTCCAAAACCTGGCGTATGCGAGGTACTCGAATCATGTGCTGTTCAACAGGCTCATAGAAAAGAGCAGCAACAAATACATTCAGAGTAATGCCACCCATGATTAAGCAGGAGCCATGATAACCGTAAGTCTCGAGTAGCCAGCGAAGCAGGGGCGGAAGAATAATGCTGCCCAACGCGCTGCCTGAAATGCACAAGCCATTAGCTAATCCGCGAAGCTTTGAAAAGTACGAGGTCACAATGTAGACAGTGGGTGGGAAAGAAAGGCCAGCCCCAATTCCGACCAAAACGCCATAGCTGAAAAACAAAAGTAATAATCACTTTAAAATATATGTCTGCGCTGAAAAAATTACCTGATGTACAAGTACTCAATAGATGATGCCCAGAAGGAGAGTATCATTCCCAGTGACGCAGATGCTCCACCAAGAAGGGTGACTGTGCGATAAGAGTACTTTACAGACAATATGCTCGAAACTGGACCTGCAAATAAGTTCACACAGTTATAAATGAGGCCTTAAGAAGTACTGTTGCCTCTTACCCAACGAACTGTACAGAAAATAGCACAGGGCCGGTATCCAGGCAGCCTTTGTGGGTGAAGAGTTAAAAGCGTCGGTGAATTCCGAAAACAGTACTTCAAAACTTTTAATAGTTCCAGGGATTAGAAAGTTTGTCATACACGAACCCAAAAGCACAAGCCAACCCCATCCACCATCAGGTGGAACAAGATCATAGTCTGAGTCATCTTTTTTGTTGAGTAGGCCGACTGCGCATTAATTAAAAAATATATTTTTAAAATTTTAATTTATACAAGAAAGGAAGCCAACTTCGGTAATCCGATGTTTATATACCCTTTCACGTCGTTTCTATGGGAGCAATCTATATACAGAGCAGAAATACTAATATAACTTTACATTTCTGTTTACTATGTTTTGCTAAATCAAAACAAATTCGTAGTTCTGAAATAATAAAATAAATGCTATGCAGTAAAATAGGTTATGTTTAAAAATACAGAGCTATAATTATTTCCCTATTATTTTTCCATTAATTATCCGTTCGTTTCTATGGCAGATGTTTTAGAAAATAACGTGTTGAAAAAAAAAGCGTCGGTACCTCGAATCGATTTAGCGTCGCTTGTGACCGGTTGTGTTTATCTTGTGCTCTGTGATTTTTGTCAATTTGTCATTAATATCTGTGATACTGGTGCCTTGCTTTGTGACTTAGTCCAACATAATTAGCCGTGCTTGTGTTTTAAATCGACTGTTTATGTTTAATTGTCTATTTTATTATATAAATTTTAACAAAACCTAACTGTGTTTTTAGCCTGTGCATTTTGCTATTGTAACTTCTGTACGCTGTGCTGCATTTGTTTCAATAGCTTTTGTTGTTGTTTTTCATAAATTTCTTGTAACCTCTCTCCCGTTTCTTGTCGTCTAAACTGTTGTCGTGTATATTTTGTTTGTGTTTCGCAAGCCACGCTCAGTAGAGCCACTCTGTCACGCTCTCTCACTCTCGCAGTCTCTACGCGCTCTTATACTTTTGTGTTCTTGTGTGTCTACATTTTTATTGTTTGATCCCAGTGTCAAATTAAGTGAGGTATTTATAATTCTTTTGATTCTTTGGTTTTATAAATAACTCTTTTTCTTAAATTGAACTACTTAAAAAAATTGCTCTTTGATTCTCACTCTCTCTCCCGCTCTATATTACAACTGTAACTTAAACTCTCTCTGAACCTGCCGAATTTCTGGTAGACTTTTGGTGTGCTATTCTCTTGTCTCTCTCTCTCTCTCTCTTTCTTGCTTGCTTTACATTGTAACTGTTCCTGCGTAAAGATGTCAGTGTCCCACAAGCAACGCTCAATCGATAGAAGATTTTTTCTCTCGTGCTCTCTTACATTTAAATTATTACGCGATCTCGCGCTCTTATTTTTTTTCGTGTTTTGTGCCTTTGTGGTTTTGGAATTTGATCCCAATGCCAAATTTACTCGAGGTATTTTTCATATATTATTTTATTTTATTTAATTTCCTTAAAATGGCTCTTGTCTGCTCTAAGAAAAATTGTTATCTTTCGTCTTCAACTAAACCCTTTTATTTTCTGCTGGCTCTGCGAGTCGATAATGCACGTTAAATGCGCAGGATTTACTGGTAGAGTCAAAGACTTCATTGATCAGAATTCTGGACTCATGTGGTCATGTGGATCCTGCAAGGAAATGGTTGTTGAGATGAGCAGCTTTATGAAGCAGACTCGAGACAGCCCTTTGAATCTCTCTGGTGCTTTTAAACAGCTCAATGAGGGGTTCAATTCCGTTTGTGCCCAATTTAATAATAAGAAATTACTAACTGAGTCGCCTAAACGTAAAAAAACCAGCTTAGCGACAGTTAATACGGTCACGGTATCCACCGCAAATCCGAACTTCAGTGCCGGCTACGGTGCCGACCGTACCTATAGGTACAGAAGTTACCGTTTCTGTTTGTGGCTCTCAGCTTAGTGAGGTGCAATCTGCTGCTGGGGGACGTAAGAAATTATCAGTTGTGCCACATAGAAAACAATTATTTGTTTCGAGATTCACACCAGATACCACATCTGAGGATGTTTTGGAATTTATTCGTGAAAAATTCCCATCCGAGAATATTTCAGTTGAACAATTTAAGTTTTCATATGCTCGTAGTATATCGTCGTTTAAAATATTTGCTCCGCCTGATGTGTTTAAGGTACTACTTTCTGAAAGCTTTTGACTTAATGATGATTTAGTAATAAAAGAATTTGTTCCCAATAAACCGAGAACAAATAACAGACCTTCCACTGCGCCAAAAAACTAAAAAGTTTATTTTTGGCTTATCAAAATGTTAGGGGACTAAATATGAAGCTACCCAAGCTTTATGCTGACTCCTCTGCATTTACTGCTGATATTTTGGCTTTTACGGAAACTTTGCTGAAACCAGAGATATCTGACAATGAAGTTCTGTCAAACAATTTTAATGCCTATAGGACCGATCGCTCCTCACGTAGGGGAGGCGGTGTGCTGATTGCCGTTAGCACTAGCCTAACATCCGAGAGAATTCACTCTGATACTCCTAATGAAATTGAATTTGTTAGTGTGAAAGTTTCCTTGCAATCATTCTCAATATTTGTTACATGTTCCTATATTTCACCTGGCTCTGATTTAATAATTTATGAGCACCACCTGTCTGCGATAAAATCTGTTCTATCCCTTCTTTCAAACAGTGACCTTTTGATTGTTTTGGGTGACTTTAATCTCCCTGATATTTCTTGGTCTCCTCCTACTGACTCACTAGTCGCTATACCTCTATCCGCCAATGATTTTGTAGATGGTCTTCTAGAATTATCGTTACAGCAAGTAAGCTTTATACGGAATTCATTAAATAGACAACTAGATCTTGTGTTTGTTTCAGACCCGTCTGAAGTCACGGTATCTAGAATTGACGCTCTTGTTGTACCTGAAGACCGATATCATCCAACAATGGAATTGACAATCTGCCTCCCATGCGTTGATACCCTCTCTCCTTTAGTTTCTCAAACTAAAGTGAGATGTTTCCGAAAATGTAACTATATAAAACTTAACGACATGATTTCTCAATATAATTGGACAGAATTGTACAATTGTATGGATATTGAAAGTGCCACTGAACACTTTTATATAGTGTTAAATACCTTTTTTAATGAATGCGTTCCTGATAGGTTTCCTTCAAAGACAAACAGGCCACCTTGGTTTACCAATGCGCTTCAAAGACTTAAAAACCTTAAGACAAACACTTATAAAAAGTATAAGAAATCGGGTAAGCCATCTGATTTTTCGAAATATGTGGTGGCTCGATCGGATTTTAATGTTCTCAATAGTCATTGCTATTCTATGTATTTAAGTCGATGTAAATTTGAATTTTCAAATGATCCGAAGCAGTTTTATAACTTTGTCAATGCCAAGCGTAAGTCATCTACATTGCCCTTATTGGTACGCTTAAACTAAACTGATGCATCTAAGGAGTCTTAAACTGCTGATTTATTTGCAGAGTTTTTCCAAGCTACTTAAAGTTCGCCTTCTTGGTCAAATTCTAACTACCCTATTCACTTAAATAAAGCAAATTATATTTTTCGCCCTGTAATTACCGAAATTTCTCTCTGAAGTGGTCCAGATAGACTCCCTGGTGTGTGCTTAGGTTTTGTGTATCAACCATTTGTAAACCGATTCTTAAACATTTTTATTTGTCTATTTCATCATCTGTTTTAACCAACTATCTGGAAAGATTCCACCTCACAAAATGGGTGCGAGAGCGGATGTCCAGAATTATAGAGGTTTATCTAATTTGTCTGCAATTCCTTAATCATTTGCAACATTTGTGTCCTTAGCTGATATCACCGAGTCAACACGGTTTTATTAGGCAAAGATCGACCACCCCTAACCTGCTCGAATTGACATTTACTGTAATAAATGGATTTATCAAAAAATTGCAGGCAGACGTTATACAGCTGCGGCAACAAAAATAGCACCAATGTGTAGGCAAATCTTCTTTGTGCTATTAAATGGTAATATTTTGCAATATTTTTAGTCTGTTTGTAAGAGTAAGTAGGGTTACATATATACCCTTCAGTTCCAAAAAATAAGTTACCGTAGGACATGTCCTCTTGCATGAGTGAAGAACACGTGACACTCCATACAGACAATTCTATGGGATGTCCGCTTTTTCACAAGTGAAAATTCAAATTCAAATTTTTCGAAGTCCCACTGGATTTCACTTGTTCCTTATACTTATTTGTCGTATGTCGTGTCTGCCGGAGACACGTCCCACGTGAAATCACTTGTGAAATTCATAATATTTCCAATCAGTTTTCACTTATGAAATCACTTGCAAGTGGCACGTCCCAAGTAATACACTTGTGAAATGCAGAATATATCCAATGAGTTTTCACTTATGAAAATATAGAATTTAAAATACATACATTTTTATTTACTTTTAAATTCATTTTAAATAAATAGTATTATTTAGGTTTTCTGTTAAAGGAAAATTATTGTTAGTAAACCTAGTTTTATGTTACGTTAATTTGCTTTTTACATTGGTCATCGCCTTTCTTAAACTTTTGTCCGTGTTATCCGAATCCTTGGCCAACGCTCTTGAAAAAATGTATGGGCATATGTTTAAAAAATGCGTTTTATTTGTTTATTTGTATATTCAGAGTTATATATTCTTTCAGAGCTGTGTTTAGCCCTTTGCGGGATTTTTATTGGCACAAAACATTTCATCATTCACTTTCGGCTAACGGAACCCATTTAATAACTTCAAAATTAACGTAGATCAATGCATATCTTAAACTTAATGTAACACTTACCTGACTTTATTATTTTAACTTAAAGAAACGATAAAAGTAACTCTGCTGCGCACAATTTAAATGCATACTTCCCTTTCAATCACTCAAACAGATTGCACCAAGTCTTCCTCTCACCCCTTTACTTGATTTCTTTTGTTTTCTCTTCGCTGTTGGCGCGTGCCACTGCACCTATACTTTTTCTAAAGCGAAAAATATACGACTATATAATTTTTAATTCTTGAGTAAAAAATTCAAAACGAATTTTTAAAATATTTGAATCAATTTTAACGGACTAAATTTCTATAGCTTAACTAAAAAACAAGGAAGAACGCTATTGTCGAGTACCTCTACTACCAGATACCCGTTACTCAGTTAAAGCGACAAAAGGAAAATGGAGATATACAAGCAGCAAAGCGAGACTGAAATGCGCCACCTACCCCTGATCTCAATATATGATTA